CTAGAGAAGTCACTGAGGGATTTACAGATGATCCAAGGAGATCAGAAGGTAAATGCAATTAAGATATCTCCCTCTGTTTAACACAACTGTTGCCAATACATCCAAAATGTTGTTCTGTATGGTGTGTTTCTTTTCTGGCAAATGCAAAAGTTCAAGTTACCTTTGTTGTGTTCCTGCTGATATTGTCTGTTCCCGTTGGTCTTTCAGTCAGGAGATAATCCATAACATTAGTTGATGTTATGACATGTATTTTGTGTCACATAGACCATGATAAATTATTGTTAGAAAGTGTTATTCCAGGTACTGTCAGGAAGTAGTATTCCAGAATTCATGTTCTCAGGGTTGATATTTGTATTAACAGACACAAATTTATGTCTGTTTCTTGATTTTTACTGATGAAAGAATGATGTCTAACCTGGTTTTACAGCAACACTAATTTTTTCAAGCGTTTGTCACACCTAATGTTGACATGGACAAGCAAACTTGCTGCTTATATGATTTTATGTGGTTCTGCACATATCAGCATACTGTTAAAAATGGTTCATGATTTATTTTTACTACTTGAGATTCTTAATCTTTTTTATAAATGATTCAAACCCGGCGAGTTGCTGCTGCAGAAATAAAATGTAAAAAGCCTGAAGTCACGTTAACACAAATAAGTCTGTCCAGGCCACCTTAGTATTTTTTCAAGTTTGTACCTTTATTTTGTCAATAACTAGAATTTTCTAAAGTTTGTTCATGTGTGATTGTTTCTTAAATTTCAAACATTCTGTTCAGACTTGAAAGAAAATTATTACACTTTAATCCTATTATTTTGAGAAATTAACTTTAAAACTCCTCCAGTATGTACAGATTTGAAGTGAGGTTCAGTATCATAAAACATTTCTCTTTTAAGTTTCGTATTTTAATCCTGATTTCTTTTTATTTTGCTTTCTAACTGGTTTATGGTATGTACTTGGCTCTCTCAATATGTTATAAATTTACTTAATAACTTTCAAAATCTGTATTCAATAATATTATTTAATAGGGAACTTGATTTATCAATCATGACAAATATTTTCTTTCTCTGTTTTGTTAAGCCTTAAATTATTAAAGGTTTAAAATATTAAAGGGGTGTATTAAATCCTGGATAATACTGTTTGTAGTTTTAAAAGATTGGAACCAAATCTCATCCTGCTTTTCTTGTTAAAAATGAATTGGCCTCAGTGTCAGGGCTGCTGACTATCTTCAGCTTTCATGTCCTAATTTGCTCTCTGTAATCTGTCACTTTCTTCTCCAGCTTTTACATTTTCTATTTACAGGCATACATATGTTGTTGCAACTAGCTAGTGGATATAGTGCTGAAATGTTCTACATGATTTAAGCAATTACAGTATTATCAGTATTAGTTGTTGGAGAAAATGTGGAATTTTTTGTGATTTCACTCCATATTTTTTAGGATGGATGTCATTAAGATCATATAAACCCAGTTGCTCAATAAGCAGAAGTTTTTAAACTCTTTGGAGAAATAAATGGCTGCCAAACCACAACAGTTCTTAAGGACCAACTCAGCAGATTGATTTTTTTTTTTTTTTTACTAATAGTTAATAGATGGCCCCACACATGAAATTTGAGTCACAGTTTGGGAGTAACTGCTACATTGGAACAATTTAACTTGAGGATTTAGAATTTTTGCATAATTGACTTATGTCTTCATTTAGAAAAATGGCAACTGTCTATTCTGATCTGAAACACACAAAATGTAGTGCTTTTCAGCATTGCAGACTTGGATTCTGTCTCAAAATTCAAAATAAACTTTTCTTCTGTACAGGTACTATTACCAAGTGTGTTCCTGTTCTCAAATCTTACCTTCCACAGGAACAGAGCTTCCTTAGTTTTAGTTTTTTGTTCTTTTTAAGGTGCTGCTGGTTCAGCCTCATCCTGAGTCATTATACTTCTGAGTTTGAAATTGAGCTTTCAAACCTGAGAGGATTTTGCGTTTGTTTTTTTCTTTTTTAATAAAAATCCGTAGAACAGTTACATGATTATAATGTTTTGTTACCCGAAACTGAAGTCCAGAAGAGTTTGAGTTATTTCTTCTCACAAGAAAACAGGAAAGTTTCTTCATAAGCAACTGTGTAAGACATCTAAGAATAGTACAATATTCATACCTGACTGAGAGTATGAGCCTTAACACTTCCAGCCTTTCCTACCTCTACTACACTAAGGGCTTTTGAAATGCTTCAAAAATACATTGTAGTGTAGACATTCAGATCTTAAATGTTAATTTACTATTTCTTTATGGTAAATAACTTCTTATAATATGCTTTATCCTGTGGCTGCACCTAATTCCTAAAGAAGCAAAGTACAAAAACTTGAAATCTCAACTTGGCAGAAGACATTCCAAACATCTTTAAAATGCACTTATTAAAAATTTTTTACAGTTATAAATCAGCCACTGCAGTAACATTTTTTTTAGTTAAAACACTAATTTAGGCTTTAAAGGAATAACATGAACATATTTATTAAAAATTAAGATGTACCTACTTTGTGTGGAATTTTGCACTTGAAATTTAAAATATTTCTTCTCTTGCATTTGACATATTTTAAATATTTCTTCCATTGAAGACTAATGCAAACCAGGATATCACTGAACTGGAGAATAAAGTGGCAGCTTTGAAATCCCAGTTTGAGAAGACTTTGAATGACACTACTGCAAACCAAAAATTCTTGGAAGAGGACTTGGTGACAACAAAACATGACTTGCTTAAGGTTCAGGATCAGCTATCTGCAGCTGAAAAGGTTAGCATTTTTTTTGTAGTGTAAAGATGTGATCCTTACTCACATTTTAACCGACTAGTAATTTAACAAGCACACACTACAGGATGCAGAGTTTACCAGGCCACACTGTTGCCTGTGTATTTTTGTTATTTCAGTGGAAAAGCATGTTATAAGTAAAATAGCAAACCCACAACTAACTACATGATTATAACTAGACGAATACTTAAATATTGCCCATTTGTCTGCATAGAAAGTTTGAAATGAAAAATGTATTCCCAGCCTTGAGAAGACTTTTAGCCTAATTTCATCAGAAAATAAAGTTTGTGTTTCTCTGTCTGTCCCAGTAATCTCATCTGAATTTACCAGCCCACTTAATCTAAATTTGAATAAGTTACAGAAACTACTATTCTGAACCTTGAGGAGGAAAAGCAATTGTTTGTTTTTTTTTAAATATTTTAGTTTGGTCTTCATAATATGTACATAATATGTTGATGTTGTAATTATGTAGGAGCTGGAGAAGAAATTTCAGCAAACAGCTGCCTATCGCAACATGAAGGAGATTCTCACAAAGAAGAATGAACAGATAAAGGATCTGCGTAGAAGGCTTTCCAAGTAAGTGATCTATCCTGTCTGTCCAAACAGGATCCTTGTTCTGCATCCACGTTCTGTTCCCATTTTGTCTTGTAAACAGTCTATAAATTTTCCCTTAAAAAGAATTTTTAGTAGTCTATTCCCTGATTTTTGACAAGCCAGTCCTTTCAGTGGATGTTAAGTGAATAGGACTGATCTGTGCAAGAGCAGCTACCATGTAGGAAGTAATGAGAGAATTTAGTATGGAGAGGTTACAGGATATTCATGTGTGTGGTGGATAAGCCCTTGGGCACTACACAGAGAGATACAGATGGCACATATTCCAGATGCTTTGGCAATTGTTTGGATTTGTGGGTAGGTCATTCCTTCATTCTAATATTTGGTAAACTGGCCAGTTTTTAAAGGAGAAAATAGTCTAAAAAGTATATGCATTTCTCTGTGCCCTAAGTCATACAGTGATTCTTGACAGAAATGTGTCACTATTGAGTGCAATTTATTACTTGGGTTTCATTTTTTCTTTAGAGGCAAAATGACTCTAGGGTATTTTCTGCTCTGTTTTAATTATTTTTCTCTTTATCTTTTTTAATCCTCAGATATGAATCAGAGGACTGAAATACCAAAAAACATCTGATGTATCGAAAGCTGCCATGGAACGAAAATGTAGACTGGTATTATATTTCAAAAATCTCTGTTTTGAATGGTATATTTTTTGCTTCTAATGATGAAAATAACTCTTTATTAATACTAATAACATGCTGAAACTCCTACCTTACTTCCTTGTAAACCTACAATTTATAGGTATTAGTTTCTGCAGTCATGTTTTTAATTCTTAGCCATCAACATTTCTTGAGAAACAGCTAACAGGATCTTACTGAAGAACTGAGAACATTCCCTACAAAGAAAGGAGTTTATTTTTGTTAAGAAAAGAAAAAAAGGGAAAAAAAAGAGCATTAGGGATTTCCATGTCTCTGAAGTGGAAATTCCAGTTGTTACTTTTGTGTAGTTAGTGTACTTATGAAGTAGCATTATATGTAAAAATTACATCAGTGAAAGTAAAAAGCAGGAAGAAAAAAAAAGAAACTCACAGATTCTGTAATGTTACTTCACAATGGACATGTCATACCTCAGCAAAATGTGGTCAGTAGCATTTTTCTGGAGGATGTTCAGGAGCTAGTGAGGTAAATATGCTTTATAGCTGAAGCTGTCAAATAAAGCCACTAATTGAAGTTATGCTTTTTAACTTGAATTGATTTGAAACAAATTTGAATATCAAAAGACAGATTCTGATTTTGCCAGTATTCTTAGCATTGAGATGATAATCTGAAAACTCATAGGAAAGTTAATGGAGAAACTTTTTTGAGAAATAAGTTATTTTAGATATTTTCATCTCCTTTCTTGATGTAACCTCATCAGAAAACAGCTTACTTCTCTCAAGTCTTCTACTTGTAATTCTTTTCCTTGCATTTATTTGTCAGCCTATTGTTAGTGCATTCTACTTGTTCATCTGTCCCTGTTCATGTGTATGTTGTATTTTACTCCAAATAAAACTATTCTGTTTTCAAACATTTAATCTTTAAGGAGCTGGGTTTTTTAATAGGAATGTTTTGTATAGCCATTTTTTTAATATCTGTGGGAATGGGTGGCAGATCAGCAAAGAATCTTGCTAGAAATTAGAACATGTAAATTGCAGAATGATGCTCAAAGATACACCACATCAAACAGCTGTAAAACAGTGTAGCAGTGGCAGGGCTGGGAAGTAGCCGGGGTGGTTGTATTACAGAAACTGGAATTTAACAGTACTTGTCTCAGGAGCTGCTTGGACTGAAATGGATCGTTTTTCTTCATTCTTTCTCAGACAAGCAAGGCTGTTAAAATTGTTCAAGCAATGATGCCCCGTTCAAATCTGCCATACACTTGCAGTCTAAGTTCTCTTGTTTCCTCCAAGTTTAAGTTCTCATGTTTTATAGAAGTTCTCTTGTCCTTTTCCCCCCACCGGTTAAGCAAGATTGCTTTGGGATAATGTCCTGTGTCTGTAGCATGATATTATTGCTTCTAGCACAATAGTAGGGCATTATGGGGTGACCTACTCTTCATGCAGTGGCAATTAAGTTAATGAAAGGTATTATTTTGCCCCTTATACAGTCATCTAAAAGGTTAAGTTCTTAATAGGGATGTACCAAAGAGCTTTCTGGCTTGTGTTTGCTCAGAGCAACAGGACTACTTTTCTGGGTGAATATTGTGGGTTTTTTCTTTGTAATAACACTCATTTTAATGAGATCACTTACTATTTCTAAAAGAGCAGGTAAAAGATGAAGAAAAACAGAGATTCTTCTACTGCGCTTCTTTTCTGATAGATCTTTGACTGATGATTTAGCTAGAATATTGATTCTGTGATAGGCATTCATTATCTGCTTAGAAACAATCTCAAAAAGAAAGTAGACTGTCAACTCCCGTATATGGCTAGGTCTCAATGAAATGAGTTGCCTGTAGAAAAGCATTGTTACAGACATTGTTATCTCCTCAAACAAGGCAAATCTTGTAGAGAGCTGTGCAGTGCAAAATTGAAACACCGACTTCGATTTCCTGCCTTGCACATTGCCACTTTAGCGAGTATGAGATCACTGTGATGCTAACATTGGTTTGTGTTGCAGAATGGCTAATTAAAGGGCTTTTGTGGAGCTCTTGATGGAAAATACATGATCTTTGACAGATGATATTCCTGTCAAAGAATACCTAGAGCATTATACAGTGACGGTTCTCTTTTTATGGAGATAAGTACAATATTTTGAAGATGGAGATGACATATGAATCTCTCCTGGCAGTGTCTGATATTTCTAAAACTTCACTTCCTTCCCTGAGGTGTAAATTCTAATACTGCTTTTACCAGCCTTTGTTCCTTGTACTGTTCAAGTAGACATCATCCATTTCTTCCACTTCACTTGCTAAGTCCCTAGTTATGCCTGAAGGGAATGTTTAAAAAGAAAATTTCTCTATAACTGGCTGGTCTGCAGGAATCAAGTATCTTTCAAAGCTGTGGTTTTCATTTTTTTTGTGTGTTTTTTATTTTATTTTATTTTATTTTTGCTTGCAGACTGAAGAATATTTTTTTATGGGAACGAAATTCAGGCAGCTCAGCTTCGCTAGTGTTGAATCTGACAGCCAACAAACAACCCTATGCACTGACAGTGACTTCAGCTCAGCTGCTGGTCGTTAATAAATGAGCCAGCATTGCTGCATGCTCTTCATGAGACTGTATATTACCTGATGATCCTTAACTGTTTTTAAAGTACTCGTTAGTCTGTTTTTCTCTTGTGGATAATAGTCATTTTTTAAGATGTCCTAAGATGAATACTGACATATATTGACACTTAGTCTGCAAGTGCACCTCTTTATTTGATAAGCTAATATTAAGGACAGCTGCTGTTTGGACATTTCTCATATACCTTACCTTTGGGAAACCCAGTCATCTGCTAGGCATTTAGATTTCAATCCAGCCAAAAGGTTCATAAGATTCCTTGATTTGATTTCCCTTTTCTGGCATTATCAAGGTCAGCTCTTGGCTTCTGTGTGATACCAAATGCTGGCAGACCACAGTGAAGTGACTCTTACCTCTTCAGGAAGCAAATGTGAATCATCTTGCAGTGTCAGGTGGCTGAATGGATCAAGCTTAAAAATGTGTGGAGGATGTGCCTTCTAAAACATGTTAAAACCAATTTAATTTGAAGCTAAGTTTTTATGTGAGCAGGTAAAAATTGTTATTGAAATTGTTATTGTAACTGACTTTGAGCAGAGAAGGTGCCTAGGGAGTTACCCTGTGACTGTTGATTTTGACAATGTCCCTTTGAAAGCATTGGCACAGGATTCTTACCCTGCTCTGGCTGCCTGCAGACTCTCTGAAAGCATCTAGATGTGCCCTCCTTTTGGATATATCCTGTAACATTAGGCAGCCTATTTGGAGTCAACTCTTCTCCAAATAAAGGTGGGTAGATACATGACATTCTTAGTTTCAGGAGTCTTAATATCTAGAGAATTTTGGTCGTTAATTATTTTTTAATTATTATTTTTAGGAACCTGTTAATGTCTTGGGGTGTCCGTGGTAAGCCGTGGTGATGCTGTGTGGTTGGTGCAGGACTACTCTGGCAGAGCAGCTCACGACTGACAGCTGCTGGTGGACAAGGGATCTGCCTGGAGACCTCCCCAGACTGCAGGCAAGCTTTGACAGAGACAGTGGGAACTGGCAGGAGGCAAGCAGAAGAACTGACTGAATAGGTCAACTGCCTTTTTTATTTAGTGAGGTGCTACTTTGTGACTCTTGTTTTACATAGGCCAGTTCTGAGGTCTGGGTGAATTAGATGCAATTCTCTGAATCGGAACTGCATTGAGTACCCTAAAAGATCACATAGTCGGAAGATGAGTAGAGCTGTGGTGCTAAACAAAAGCAAAGAAATTAGAAAGAGAGACCTTTCCCAGGAATGCTTTTCTTGGGAGGCTGACGTAATGTGAAACAGTTTTAAGGGTGACGAAGAGGTTGGATATGACTTCAGGGTGCAGACCTTAAGGGCATCATCTACTATTTGGAACTAAGCAACAAGTAGTAGTGAGTAACTGGAAGGAATAATTGCAATCCTGATAACTGCTTAGAGGAGTAGCTGTAATCTCCAATTACACATAGAGCAATTGCCCAACAGTTATCATGGCCTGTGAGTTCTCAAAGATCTGGAAATCCAGATGGAATCTTTCTTTCTCCTAGAGTAAGGAAACATGAGGCTTAGAGTAGCAACTGTGAACAGCGAATCCCAACAGAAAAACCATATGTGAAAGCTGCTACTCGCCTGGCTGTGTATCTGCTTCCCCTGACAGTATCAGTAAACATTTGCAGAGGCTCTAGAGACTCTTCCATCGCTTGTGTTTGATAATCATCTGATATGCTAGCAGACACCATATTTCCATTTGGAGGCGAGTGCCTCCAGGAAAGGCAGATCTTAAACACCACAGCTGCTGACACTTTTTCTCCCTTCCACATGTGTGGCTCATCAAAGAAAGCCCAGAGGGTTTATTTTTAAATCTAGATGGTATAGTGCTACATGTTGGAGGTAGAACAATAAGTCCAGGCTACCTGGTAGAATTCCTTCCTCCCTTGTTTCCCTCTCTTTCAGAAATAGAACTGTTAAGCTTCTCTCACAGCCTCAAAGCACTGTCTCCAACCTGTTGCTAGGACCTCAGACTCCCTTTTTGTCTGCATTTTAGGTAGCTGGAGAGGCACTTGGCTGCTTTCTGTACCAGTATCATTTGGCATCAAGAGATGCAAGCCCAGGATTTTTAGTTTGCACCTTTGCCTAAGTACTTGCAGTTTTGCTTCAGTGAGAAATGGAATTCTCTGGTTTGTTTATTAGTTTCTGACTAGGTTTACATAGAGGAGTTCTCCTGGGCAGTCCCATCAGTCCCTGTGGAGATGAACCCCTGCCCTTCTCCTCAACCACTCCCTCAAACCCCACATTTCAAATTTGTTAGGTACTGGGGGGCAAAAATGTTTCTAATAGTCCTTTAACATGAGCAGTGAAATGTTTAAAAGTTCTTCCATATGTCTGTTAGAGGCTTGTCTTTGTCCCTGAAGATAAAGCCCAAGTCCTTCCCCAACCCAAATGAAGGAATTTCAAAGGAGATAAAATCTTGAACAGTATGAGAAATAGCATATTGATTATCTGAGGTGTGTATGGAAAATCCTACAGCAAGAATTCCTTAGTGTTGACTGTATAAATACCTTTAAATATGTTTAAAGCCTATCCTTCAAGGAGCCAGTAGATGACAGGCACTCTGCTGGGTGCCTATGTGCATGACCACCTTTAAAAAAACTCATAGTAGTTTGTGATCTGCCAATGAGACTGACATTTGTGAGAGACACAAGGATTCATCTCTTTCCATCTGAACTTCCTGATCTGGCCTGACCCGAGATGAGGACACCACACCTCTCTGCGTGCACGATCCCCTCCAGTCCATTAGTAAACTAGTTTGAAATGTAATGGGAAGGAGGTCCAGAGCCAAGGTAAATCTTTAACCCGATGATTGTCATCGATAGGACTAATCCATTCACACAGAAGCATCCCAAGTGCTAGAGATGTGCTATTTTTTAATGCTGTCCTGTCAGAAAATTATTTAATGCTGTAAGCTATTTATAAGCATCATTTATAATAAATCCCACTGGCAGTGGCAGGCATTTAACTTTTTAATAATTTGCAAAGTTTTCATTATTTGAGACAACTAATGTATCTGTAGCTTCTCAGTGTGTGTCTTTTGGTTTTAATATCTTATGGATCTAAAATTAGCTTGGATTTTTTTTTCCAGCAGAATTCAGGGGTATACCCATGAGACATATTTCCGTGGCTAGCTGGCACGTTGCAATTCTGTGGGCAAGACAAAAACCGCAAGGGTATTCCAGAAATGCCATGAGCACCCTCAGAACTGTAGTCTGGAGGGCTCTGGCAAACCCTGATGTTTTCCAGTGACAACCTTCATTTGTAGCACCACTAAGACACACCACAAAGAATGAATTCACTTACAGGAGATGCGTAAACCTCTTGCAGTCACCTTTTCTAGCAGTCAGAAAAGCGATGTCCCAGTTTGTGACTTTGCTACTGCAGGTGGCTGGTCAGCATGTCCACCAGAGTGGTTCTACTGGGCTCAACAGCACTGCACGACACACTCTGCGCTTTGGGCTCGTGTCCAAAGGCCCCATGGTGGGGGTTCTCATCTGTACTTACAGCTGGTGCCTGATGGGGTGCTGGAGCAGCACACACAGTGCTGGCAGGGAGCAAATTGCTGGTGCCGGAGGAACGAGACTGCCAGCAGTTGAGTGAGTCTTACTCGTACAATGGTCCTGAAAGGTGCTATGGAAAAAACACATTTAAACAGAGGAAGGAAGCTGAGTCCTTGGAGTTGTTCAACCCCTTTTTATTGCTACAGATGCTGCTGGCAGACTCCTTCACTAGGAGACCTGTCTGAATTGATTGAGTTCAATGAGTACCTTGGCAGGGGCCCAAATACAGCAGGGTTCATGTTCAGACCTGGCACCCCACTGTGCCTTCAGATGACCCAAAGGCCTCGTAGACCCTTCTACCTCCACAATGGGCCACAGACGCCTTTTCCCAGTGACCTTTGTATATATATGGTCCCTGCTGCTTGAAAGTATTTTAAAACAGCAACTCTTCAGAAAAGTTCATCTGCAACAGTGGGGTTTGAGCATGAAGGTAAGTGAAAAGAGACTGGGCTATTTCACACTGTCACACACGTGCAGAATATGTAGAGGGAGGGTAGTAGTGCTGGAGGGTCAAACTTGAGTGTTGTACTCAAGTGTGCAGCGTGTTGGGGACTTGTGTGGCTTATAGGGAGTGTTTCAAGGCAACCTTTGGAACTGGGAAGCGTGCTGGACTGGTTGGGGTGAGCACTGGATCACAAGTGATGGGGTGTCTGAGGACCCATTTATTCCTGGCATCCCTTGCCCTAGAAGTCAGCTCTGACAGTCACTAAAGCCAGTCCTAATGGTGTGGGAATCCCTTCTCTGTGCTATCGAATTCAAACTGGTACCTCATGCACATGAATGGCGCTCATAGGGAAGGAGCCCTGTGGAGAAGGAGTGTCCCATTTCCAAAACCAGACTGCAGCCCCAGTGTTATTTTCTCACAGTGTCAAGTTGGCATGTGAGTTGATAAAAATCCCCCGGCTCACATCCTTCCCAGAAGTGCCAGTCAAAACCCAAGCAGCTATTTACCCAAAGTACCAATTTTATAGTTCTGTGTGTGTCTATAATCTATTTACCAGCATTCCTACTTCAGTATGTGCCTGTTAATAAGATTAGTAATTAAAAAGCTTGATAGGAATTGGCAAGCATAGCTCCTCCGCCTCTCCCTCCCCTCCAAGCCGGACTGGCGTGGAGTGTGAGGCAGGGTTGGCAGAGTACCTGAGGGAGTGAAGGCAGGAAGGCTCTGCTGAAACCTCTGCCTACAAGCAGGCAATGGAGAAATCCCGGCCGCTATGGGACAATCCCCTGCAGTTTGTTTTTGCGTGCATTTCCTATGCTGTGGGACTGGGAAATGTGTGGAGATTTCCCTACTTATGTCAGATGTATGGAGGAGGTAAGTGTGGTTCATGTTTCTTGCTTCCCTCGAGGAAGAGTGTGGCAAGCTTTAAGTCCAAAAGTATGTTGTCCATGCTAATGCCCTGTTAACCCAGAAGGGTCCAGAGCAGAGTAGGACGTCTGGCTTTCTGTTGGTGTACAACCTGTCTTATTGCGCTTTATTTTATGTATTCTTTAGCATTAGGCTTTTACGTGACAGCTGCCCCAATACAGTGGCACTTGTTTCCTAGAAGCAGTGGGAAGGCCCATGTTTTCTAAAAGGGTGGAGATAGAGTGAGAGATACATGTCCACATGGTATTAATCTATTACTTTTTTGCCCCATCGAACCTTTCTGAAGTCATCAGAAACTAGTTCAGTTCTTTGTATGTTCACATATGTGGACTTGGAACATATTGAGAAGGGGAGAGGCTTATGCTGATTTAATTTAAGGATCAGATGCATCATTTCAAGTTTCTGTCATTAATGTTTTGTCTTTTATACAAAGCCTAACTTTAGGAGGTGATAACTTGGCTGGAAATCTGCCTTGAAGTTGCCTGAAACACCTTAATCAACAGGAGTTCCACAGCTAAAGCCTCCCAGGCACCTTTGAAAATAGAGAATACATTGATTTGGGCTCAAAAAAAAAAAAAAGCTCTTTGAAAGTTTATCCTTCTCCTGGGTCCAAATAGAACAAAGATGATGTCTGTATCATATACCAGCCATAGATGTTCTTCCTTAGAAATCAAGTTAGTTAATTAGGTTAATTAAAGACCAACACTAATAATCTCCTCTAATATACAGCTACCACTGTTTTGAAAAATCCTTATAAAGAGCCTCTCTTTATGAGACATCCAAGTTTTATATTGTTCTCACTGCATCTGTTATCATAGTGTTGGACTCTCCTCAGCCTTGCAATAAGGGACATGATGAGCATCTGCCTCATCTGCCTTTGGTCTGCTTCCATCTTTTTTTTCCTTTCAGGAAGAAACATATGGAGATATTTGAGTGCTTTTTACTTCTTTTATGCTTGTTTTGTTGGCTTGTAGCTTACTTCTAAATGCATGTGTGGCAGTAAGGGTTGGTTCATGCTGGTTTTTGAAAAGCCACAGTGCTGAGACTGTGTCAGAGCTGTCCCCTGGGATGAGGTCAGAAAAATCCAAATAATACAATAGGTGAAGTTCAGTAGAAGATAGATGCTGCAGTGGCTGAAGCGTTGTTAGGTGGTTTAGATAGCAGGAATGATAGGTGTGCTGTAATTCTGCATGTATTCCTCCACCCATGCTTTAAGACTTCATGTCTGACACTGAACTCTAGCGCAAAGCTTAAAATGCGAGTGTTTCTGTATGCAATTAAACTGCATGTGATTACTTTGCTAGCAGCCTATCTTGGCAGACATCCTGAAGGACAGCAAAACTTGGACATTTTGGGGGATTTGTGTGGTTCTTTTGACCAGCCATCTGTATTGCAGTGGATAGTAAAAATCCTCTGAAATGTAACCAAAACTGGAACACTTGATTAACTTGAAATAAGATTAAATAAACTTTCCTGCTTGTTGCAGGGCATTGGACTAGATGACGTTTAGAAGGTCCCTTCCAGCTCAAACTATTGTATGATTCTATGATAAACCCAAGTATTTTTCGAAAAGCATGTTTTTCCATTATTTTCCATTATACTCGCCATTATTTTCTCTTCCCCAGTTAAATTTACATAGGGAAGGGCAGCTCTTTCTCTACTGTGAAGCTGAAACTCCTGACAGGAGGTTTTGCTTTTCTTAATTCTTCTTTTCACTGCCTTCTTAATGAGGATTCTGTGGCTTTCCAGGGGTCCACAAAAACAACGCAGACAGAACATGGTTTCAGGAACTTAAAAGCTGGATAAGGGGGGACGTCAGCTTGTTTGGCATCTTTCTTTTAGAAAAGCACAGAGCCAGTTCCTGTCCTGCCCAGCAGAACAATAGAGCCCTTATTGCGTATGATACTGATAATTTGCAGTATTTACAAATTATATTGCTTTGTAACCCGCCTTTCTGTTCATCAGCAGATTGCCTCCTTCTCCTTGCTCTTCTCCAGAGAGCTTGGCCTGAGCAGAGCAAGGGGGGGTTAAACCTCATAGGTGCAGTTATTCTGTCCCTAAGCAGGCTGGGCCAGGCTGAAACGAGACTGGGATGGGTCTACAGCAGGACGCTGAGCAGAGGCGAGGGTGCTGCTGGACAAGTCCAGTGCCTTGAGCAGGCCCAGGGCACATTCCATGTTTTGCCAACTGCAGGGATCTGGCCTGGGGTCTGGTTTTTGCTGTGCTGAGTCACAGCAAATAAGGAATTGGTTCATACAGCTGCACTGAGTCACTTGTATGAGGCAATGTGGTTCTACCCTTTAGGGAAGTAGGGTTGGGAGCAAGATCTGCATGCAAACAGGGTGCAGAGCAAGGGGCAGGGGGCTTAGCCCTGGCACCCCCAGCTGCAGGGGGACATGGGGGTGAAGAGCAAGCCTGAAGACATTCCTGCTGCTTGCAAGGTGGTTAAGTCAATGCCAAGCATGTGGAAGCACTGCTGGGAGAGCAGAAAAGCCTTCACAGAGAGTCTAATGCTGATTCCCTCTGGTGGTACATGGCAAAACTCTCCTCAGTGGCTGCTGGGGCAGCTCACACCCTGCCGGCACAGAGCAGCTGTGGGAGCTCTTAAACCTCCAGCAGCTCCCTTGTGGCATAGGAAGTTATCTAACAGGCTAACAAAGGGGTTGTTAATAACAAGAGAGCTGGGAGGTGGGAAATTAATTCCCAGAATAAACCGGATTATTGCTCTGTGTTTATTTCCAGTTCTTTTCCTCAGTCGCTGCCCAGAGTTCATTCCTCCACAGCACTGCACAGAGCCCATTGCAAGGAATGTTAATGCCACAGATTAAATACCGAATAAGAGATATTTACGTAAATATTTTGGCTTGCTGTAAAAAGGGAAGCAGGGAAGCCTTCGCAAAAATACAGCTTTTGACTCAGTCAGCAGCTCTTTCTGAAGCGAGCCTGTGAGCCCCAAGTTGAGTACAAGGATTTTCTTTTTTTTTTTGGCAGAAATTTAAGCCAAAGCACATCCTGGTTGCCAAGTGGGAAGGTCCTTTCCCCTCCTTCATTGTCAGCCCGTTCCTGCTGCTTCTCCTCTTCCACAGGAGCATCCCTGTGGCTCTCCATGTGGGGAAGAAGTAGGGATGAGCAGCCCCACACAGGGGAGCCTGTGCCTCCCATACCAGAGTCTGTTCCTGCAGGTGGGACCCTGGGGGAAAAGCCTTCATCCCTTTCCTGGTGCTTGTGGGATCAGCAGGGGGTTTTGGGAGCTTTTTGGTTTGCTTTTTTCTTTGTTTGTTTGTGTTTTTTTTAAGCCAGGCCAGACCTCAGTATGTAACTCAAAACTCTCCATTCAACATGGACATTGCTGTTACTTTTACTTTGAGCACTTTGGCTGTGCCGCAAAATACCCCACATGAAGTAAATCTTTTCCTTGTCCTCTTTCTCTCATTATAGTTTACAAGGTTTGGCTGGTGTTTGGTTACCCTTTAACAGCCCCAGCCCCCAACTTTGCTCAAACCGCTGGTGATGCATCTGGGTAGCCCTGCCACACCGGAGTGGTGACCAACACAGTTTAACAGCAGAAATCCCAGCTCTGCCAAGTTCCTGCGGAAAATTCCCTATGCCCGGGCAGTCAGCACCCACCAGCCTATGCGACACCGCCTGAAACCCTGTGACATCTCCTTCAGGGTTGGGCCATGCCCTCAATACACAAGGTGCCTGGACAGGACCCAGACCCAGCCAGCCCCTGGGACACTGACAGCATGATTTGACCACAAATAGGGCAACATGGTGTTTATCTTGCTGCTGATCTGCTGAAGGCTGACTTTTGGGGTTTTTTTTGCAGGTGGCTTTTTGATCCCATACCTTATCATGCTGATTGCCGAGGGGATGCCACTGCTCTACTTGGAGCTGGCTGTGGGGCAGCGTATGCGTCAGGGCAGCATCGGCGCCTGGAAAATGATAAGCCCCTACCTTTGTGGTGTTGGTATGTTCTCAGTTTTCATCTTCATTTTCCAGCATGGAGAGAACATGGGTCATTTTTGAATGGAGAGCTTTGTCTTTCAGAGGAGAAACCAGGAGGGAGCTGGGGTTCTGCTGGGCCTCAGCAGGCTGAGCAAAGCAGACACCTTGTGGCATGCATTTATCCCATCCCTTGCAGGGCATTGGGACTAGACCCCAACTCACTGCATTCAGAGGTGTAAGTCCCCCTGCCCTCAGGCACCCTGCCAAAATCACAGTGTGAATGCCAGTGCTAAACCCATCCCCTGGGGCTGCCTGCACTGGGCTTTGACCCCAAGAGCAACTTCCCAATGAACTCAATATGAATGATAAAACAGTGCCTTAATTTCCTACCATTGCTGTTGCTGTTTGCCATTTACCAGTGTCCTTTCTTAGCTCCATTATTATGTTATTAAATTACCCTGATAACCCAAGCTATTGTTAATTTGCATACACACACAATATATTTTTAATGATACTTTGACTATTCACCCCCAGGGCCTAAAGTATAAAATCCAGTGCAGGATAGTCCTGGCAGGAGGAGGAGGTGGATGCAGCGCCAGGGACTTGCCCTGTGCACACAGCTGTGCAGGGTCAAAGCCCCTCCTGTGTTGGGCATGGTGATGCTGCCCCCACCCCACAGCCCCAGGTGTCATGAGACCCTGGGCATTTTGGGGTTTTGCTGCTGACCAAGTGTCTCCCTCCATACCTGCAGGTGTTGCCAGTGTTGTTGTCTCCTTCTTCCTCTCCATGTACTACAACGTGATAAACGCCTGGGCCTTCTGGTACCTTTTCCACTCCTTCCAGGTGTGTGGGCACTCGACAGCTCAGTTTGGCCCCACTGTGGCCATGGAGGGTCATGGTGGCTTGGCATTGATGCTGGATGTTGCATGGCACCATCATCAGCTGTAGAGCGGAGGTGGATCAGTGGCAAAAGCTCCATAAACCCACCCAGGGCTTTTCTGGAGAGAAGAATGAGGCAGTGGTGTCCTCCTCTGTCTGCTCTCCCAGGGGTGTTGGATGTTGTCTTCTTGCCATCAATCACAGGTCAAACAGGTCAAACCCTGTGATGCATTGATGGTCAGGGTGTCCTACATCCTTGGATGGGTCTGTCTGATGGAATGTGAGAGGATTGGCCATGGGGGAGAGGAGTGGCGAGTGTCATCGCTGGGGGAGAGAGTTAAAGAGGCTCAATCCTCAGGAAGAAAATCAGTCTGGTCATTCCCAGAGAAGAGACAGAGCAGGGGAGAGGGGAGAGAGAGGGGAGAGACCCTGGGGAGAGGGTCGGAAAGGGTCATCCCCACAGGAAAGGATCAGAACAAATCAGTCCTTGGAGAGAGGATCATTCCCAGGGGAAAGTGTCAGAAGACATCATCCCTAGGGGAGAGGGTCCTCCTGTGCCCCAGGCAGCACTGTGCAGAGATATGCAAGCCCCAGGCAGAAAGGCACCCTCGCCATCATCCTCCCCATGCCTCACTGGCACCTCAGCTCTCCCTGCCATGCTGACTCCATGCCCCTCTCTCCTAGGACCCCCTGCCATGGGCCACCTGCCCCCTTAACAGCAACCGCACTGGCTACGAGGAGGAGTGTGAGAGGACGTCATCCACCCAGTACTTCTGGTACCGGCAGACCCTGAACATCTCTCCATCGCTGGAGGCCAGTGGGAGTGTGCAGTGGGAGCAGGCGCTCTGCCTGACACTGGCCTGGCTGGTGGTTTATCTCTGCATCCTCCGTGGCACCGCCTCCACTGGCAAGGTGAGAGAGGGGCACAGCCCTGCCAAGCCTGGGCAGGATGTGGGGAGGGCAAACGAGTGCCCAAAGCAGTGGCTATGGCTGCAGAGCACCGAGCTCTGCTGCCTCTACTGCCCTGTCAAGTTGCAATTCGAGCAGGATCAACCAAAACACTGAGTGATACTAAAAAAATAATCCAGAAAAGTCCTGTAAATGCAGCAAAACCACGGTCAGGCTGCTGGCTGTGAGGAAAGCTGTCTGCCACAACAGAGCCATGTCAGGAGACGTCTATTCCTTGGTCTTTGCAAGAAAAAAAAGACATCTGCCGGGCATGATTTGCTCGCCTTTTATTCACAGCACAAGTTATGAGGAAGTGGGAAGAAAAACCCCAATGTCCTGGCTGAGCCTGCACTAAGCAGCAAGCTGAGGGCTGTAATCCCCAAATCGTCTTAGCTGAACACAGAAAGCCAAGAGACTATAAACTAAGAATAACCTCTTAAACTTGTTGCAACTAATTCAATTCAATTTTGATTCAATTTGATTCAATTCAAGTTTGATTTTAACCTTCTATGAGGTCTGCTTGCCTTCCTCCTAGAGCAAATGATGAATGACCTTTGCCTAATGAGTTCTTAATAGACAGTTGCACGCTGGTGTTACTCCACTAAATGATGCAGAACTGAGTTTGTGAATGCTGCAAATATTTTAGACTTTTCTTTGATTTCCAGTCAAAGAGAAGACCCTGGGAACAGTAGCACAGGTCTTCATTTTTAATAAAAACTTGCTTCCTTAAAATGTAGATCTAAAGTTAGATTTGTCTGAAAATATTTCTTTAAAGATTATTACACAAGAACAAACACAATAATTGAAATTATTTATGTAAACTAAATAAGACTGACCATAGTGGATTAGCTTTGTCTTATATATTCTTTAGACCAAGATGTTTCCCCTGCTTCCTCAGGTCGTCTATGTGACAGCCTCTTTGCCATACTGTGTTCTCATCATATACCTCATCAGAGGATTAACACTTCATGGAGCTGTGAACGGTCTTTTCTACATGTTCACACCAAAGGTACAGAAAAACTCTATTGAATTTTTCTGAAATGTTATTATTTTTACGTGTAGATTTTTAAAAGTTGTTGATGCTTTTCCTTATATTGAATTTTTGCAGCAGTAGCGTAGGTCAGGCAGCTGGAAACCCTGGCGATTTCCAGGAGTGGGAGTGGAGTGGCAGCTGCTCTGCCATGGTGCCCATAAGCTGCTTGCTTTCTCCTGCAAAAAAAGACCTGCCCATTAGCATAGCCTATAGCATATTACTTTCAGTCATATAAGTAACCCTGCCTAAAAAAAACCCCTGAACTAAAACGAGTGCACAAAGGGACCCGTCCCTGTCCCCACCCATGCAGCCTGGAAGGGGCATTGCTGGGAATCCATACGTAGCTTTATGCTCTCACTCTCTGGGTCTGGCTTTGCAGCTGGAGCAGCTGTCGAACCCCAAGGCGTGGATCAGCGCTGCCACGCAGATCTTCTTCTCGCTGGGCCTTGGCTTCGGCAGCCTCATTGCCTTTGCCAGCTACAATGAGCCCAGCAACAACTGCGAGAGACATGCCATCATTGTCTCGCTCATCAACAGCACCACCTCCATCTTTGCCAGCATTGTGACCTTCTCCATCTACGGCTTCAAGGCGACGTTTAACTATGAGAGCTGTATAAACAAGTAAGAGCCTGGTGTTCCACTCGTTTCCCACTGCAAGCCGTTCTGGGGCAGGTGAGAGGGGAGGTAAATAAATAACAGCATGCAGTGCTGCCAGCGCTGCCCCAAGACCAGACCCCATACTGCTCTAATAAAGCTAATGGAGCTATTTAAAGCGATGAAGCCCGAGATGAAAGGTCAGAGTGACTTGCCTCTTGACACCTGGGTGCTGCTTCCAGGCATGGGCCTTGTCGAAAGGATGTTTGCCTGGGCAAGTCACAGAGGCGCTGTCTCCTGTGTCCTGGTCCTGGCACACGTCGCAGGGAGTGGGGGGGACTGATTAATAAAATGTAGCAATGCTCAGACACCCCACTATTAAGGCTAAACCCTGTTCCAGGAGCTCAGCCTCCTTGGCTGTGATGCTCTGGAGGTGCCTAGGAGCCTGCAGGATTGTGTCCTGAGGCAGCAAGCTTGCATGAAGTCCCTGGCACAGGGCCTGCAGCAGTTACACTTTTACTCATATTTTTAGAGCTTTCAATCTATCTGCTGATCAGAGAGGAAACCAAGCTGCTAGTCCCTGCTCGTTGCCAAAAGGCTCATTAAGTTGATGGGGTGTGGATGTGAGATTGGAGGGCAAAGGGGAAGAGACACCAGCCAGCGCTGGCTGGCACCCAAAATACCTGCCTGGGAGCACAGTGTGGGTGCAGGAGCTTCTCCCTACAAAGCACAGATAAGTGCAAGATCGCCCATATCCCATTCTGGAAGTGCCATGGCTCTCACATGGGAAGACTGGATCCCTGGGGCCAGCAGGACATCCACATGTGGGGACCGATGGAGAAGGGGATGAGATGTCCTGGGCACTGATGGAGAAGGGAATGAGGTGTTCTGGGCCTGAAAGCCATTAAATGCCTGCAATCCTTCCCAGGGTGATCCTGCTGCTGCTGAACGCTTTTGACCTGGAGGAAGGCTCTTTGACAGCGGACAACCTCAGTGAGAAGAAAGACTACCTCATGGCCACCTACCCACAGGAATATGCCCAATTAGTGCCTCAGATTAAAAACTGCAGCTTAGAAGCTGAGCTAGACACGGTGAGTTGCCACTTTGTGCTGTCTCCTCTCCTCCCACTGAGCCTGGGCAGCCCCATGCGAGCACATCCACATGCCTGACCAGGGCTGGGGATCACTTCTACCCCTCAGGATGGGGCAAGGGGCTTGCCTGGGTGGTTAGCAGCTGAGCTGGGTGGCAGTACAGTCTGACTGCTGGCTCTGGCTGTGGAACAGGGCAGGTCACAAAGATTTGGGGTAAATGTTTTTTTGCTACAAGTGGCATTATGCCAGTGTCCGTGCAGTTTGGATAAACTGGCAAGAATCTCATCTGCTTTTGCTGTGCACAGCCACCACAGCACATGTACCTTGTCATGACACAGAGTCACTCTCTTATGTCCATCTTATGTCCTTTATCAAGGATAAGGAGCTGCCCGTAACTCATTTTTCTCCCCTTCTCTCTGACAGGCTGTCCAGGGGACAGGGCTGGCATTTATAGTCTATTCTGAAGCGATCAAAAACATGGAGGTGCCCCAGCTGTACTCTGTGCTCTACTTCTTCATGCTGCTGATGCTGGGCATTGGCAGCATGCTGGGGAACACAGCCGCCATCCTCACGCCGCTGACCGACAGCAGAGTCATTGGCGCCCGCTTCCCCAAGGAGGTGATCTCAGGTAAGCACCTGCCGTGTCACAGTGTGTGTGTGCAAAGGCTTTGATGTCCCACTGCCACTCAGGGTCCCCCTCTGACCTTGAGTGGAGCAGGGAATAGTTAATATGCTGCTGGAAAGGTTTGCCTGCCTTTGTGAAATCCTGCCCTGCCTTCAAAGCACTTCCCCTCCGGAGCTCCCAAAGCACTAGCACAATTGTGGCTGTGTATTTACAGGCTTCCCAACACACCCCAGCTCCTTCATACTGGTGTCTACTGACTGGTGAAACTCAAAGAGACAGTATAGGTGTAAAGATACTTGCAGTGAGCAGCTCTTTAGTCACATCACCAGTATCCCAACTGCAAAACACCTGTCTTTGGCCAAAAGTAATATGTGCTCCTGTTCAGGCACGGAAATCAGTTGTCCCATCTTAAAACCTGTTTTAGCAGGATGCCCAGTGGCAACACCAGATACTGCATGCACATGTGACAAGGCTATAGCCAAGACTTCGTTGTCTTGACCGTTTCTGGAGTGATGTCCTGTGACTATGCAGGTCTGAGGAGCAGTTTAAGGACACACCAGCACAGTCACACATGCAAAGAGACAGATATTTTCCATAAGGGAAAAGGAATTATCCTTCTCCTCAGAGAAAGCTGCTCAGCAGAAATTCTACGAGTTTTTTAGTCACAAGGAGTATGACATTTCCCACACACAATTAGACTTCCAAGTGTAATGGCAGGGTCTCTCTTTTATCGATGCAGGTGTTGTGTGTTTCATTAACTGTGTGATTGGCCTGATCTTCACCATGGAGGCTGGAAATTACTGGTTTGACATATTCAATGACTACGCAGCCACCCTCTCTCTGCTGCTCATCGTGCTGGTCGAAACCATCGCCGTGTGTTACATCTATGGGATAAGAAGGTAAAAGCTTGAATCCTTCTTTCTTTACAGTGGGATAGCAGGGGGAGTGGCCAAGAGCCAGGACATGCAGGGCTAAGAATAAAAATACTGCCCTAGGCTGTATGTTTCTCCTATGCTATAGTATCAGCAAGGCAATGGGGGTCTCCCCTGCCCTGCAGACCCCTTCCAGGGCCTTGGTTCAGGGCTGTACAGAGGCCAGGCTGGGCTGACACCACCTCTGCTGGCAGGCGAGTGCTAATGAGCTGTACACACCTGCTCCCTGCTCTGGTCTTTGGTCTCAAGAGCACCTTCTGCCAAAACTCTGCTCCTCCTGTGACAGTAGTTCAGCATGAGCACAACAGTGCCAGTAAGTTTTGTTTCAAGGTCACCTCACAGATTGCTGGTGTCCCAAGTCATCCCCTGTGGGCAAAAGGAAGCTTTGGCATCAGGAGAGGTTTTGAACAGCAGAGGTGTTTGTGTTCATGGCATCTAAAGGAAAAGGCTTCAGCATTTTCTTTGTTAGTCTGCCAGCACAGTACATGTACAGGCACCTACAAGGGTATTATGTCCTTGATGAGTTCAAAGCCTTCCAGTCAGATCCAGGTCTCCTGTGAGATTTTAGGTACACTCCCCAGCATTAGTACTTCCTCAAAGACAGCAGTCAGAACAACTCAACTACACAAAACCCAGCAGTTTTCTCTCCTTAATACTTGAGCATCATTGCTTTTCTCTCTTAACTGACATCAGAAACACCCTGAACTTATATTCAAGCCAGAACTTTTCTTGCTGTACCTATTTCTAGCTATTCTCTGCAGTTTGGGGTTCTCTTGGAAGTCCCACTGTCTGTTTTGATTTCACCCTCATGATGAGTCTGGTGAGCCAGTTCTTCAGACAATACCTCATTTGTGGTGAACTGTACTCCCCTTTCTCATCTGACATGGAATTCTGCAGGTAGTTTTGAAGTAACTCAGAAAAAGGTATCGATTGAACATATGCAGCTGTTCTCAAAAATATGCTTTTGTTTTTTTTTTCAACACAGATTTGAGAAAGATCTTTACACCATGATTGGACGCAAGCCAAACTGGTATTGGAAAATTATGTGGGCCTTTGTTAGTCCTCTGCTAATTATAAGCCTATTTATATTTTACCTCACCGACTATATCCTCACAGGAACCTTGCAATACCAAGCGTGGGATGCCACACAGGTAAAATAGTTTTGGGGGGTTTTTGTTTTTTTTTTAAACTTTCCCTAGTTCCTGCAAGGATACAGCCTTCCTTCCTAACTAAACCGCTCCACAAAACTGGAAAGCTTGCAGCTAGAGTCAGGGCCAACCCCTAAATTTGTGGAAAGGAAAAACAAGGAAAACTTGACCTAATGATGATGCCATGATTCTGTAAAATCAACTAACATCTCTCTGATTCTTAATCGACTCCTTCATACAGTAAAGCATTATTAATGTTGAAGACCCAAATTTCATCTTTCAAAAAACACTTTAAACAAAAAAACCTACTTTCAAAGTGTATTATTTTGAACAAAATTAGTGGTATTTTAAAAGAACCGAACTGCTGCTGGAATGGTTTTCATAATTTCCATATCCATTTTTCTTCATGGCCAAGAACACTTTTGTACGAATACTGAACTGTGTATTTATCACAAATTACTACTGGATAAGTAATCACCGGTTCCATAACCTTTTGTGGAAATGTTCCCATTGTGCAGAAAGAAAATACGTAATTGGCCATGACACAAAAACAATTTAGGACCCATGGCGGGCCTGGTCTGTTGACTGGGTGTCAGCATGAGCCCAGAGCCTCCAGGAGAGGAACACGGAGGCCTGACAGAGGTCAGGGCCCAGCCACCTCATTAAGAGACACAAATCAAGCCAAAATCCGCTCTTTACCAAAGCTTGCAGAAATTTCCCCCAATCCTGTTGTCAGCAGCTCTGTTCTTGTTGTCAGTTTTCAGGGTGGTTGGGCAAAGAACAGCGCTGAGGGCAGTCGTGGGCTGGCACAGCCAGAAAGTGCTTCTCAGAAGTCCCACTTAGATCCATGTGCATAGCTTTGCTCCTGACCCAACTCCTGGACTCTCAAACCCACAGATCCCACAGATCCAACACTGCTTCTCTCCCTTGCAGGGGCAGCTGGTGACGAAGGATTACCCAGGCTACGCCCTCGCGGTGATTGGGCTGCTGGTGGCAGCGTCCACCATGTGCATACCCCTGGGGGCACTAATGACTTTTATAAGGAAGAGACTGAAGAGGGAAAGAGTTTCAACAGTTGCATGAATGCTGACAGCTGGATTTGGGAAGACCTTACCCCCGTCATCAGTGACAGGGCACTTCTGGAAGACAGCAGCAACCATTATTTGTAGCAGCTATTTATAGAGTTGAGAATGGTGGGTGCTATATTGACCAAAAAGTGCTCTTGGGAGGTTCCACAATGGTTTGGGAAAAAAAAAAGCTCTTCTGTAACAAGATGAAGCTTTAAAATAGCCTATGCATGAGAGGGGGAAACCAGAAGAGCAGCTCACAAAATACTAGTTAGCACAAATTAACCAGCACATCAGCCCGTTACACCATGTTAGGTAATTCTTTTCCACTTTGTTGTAGCACTGCCTGTGCGGAAACATGAGCAACCAACTAAGCATGTTCCTGCACCAAAGTACCGGCAAATATCCTTTACCCATTCAAGACAGCTGCACTTAAGAGTGCACTTTATTTCAAATGACATCTGTATTTCATCAACAGAGGAAACTGTTGAAGTCTGCCAGTGAGAATGTGATAATCCCTTTCCTACATGGGAGAAATCAGTAGCATGGTATTGGGAGATGAATGTGGCCCACCTGGCTTCTTTTATACTGGTGTTCAGCAAAGCAGTTTATATATATATATATATATGCAAACACATATATGAGTTGCACAAGTTCTTTCCCCCGGAGAAGTAAGCTTCCAATTCCAGTACATAACTGTGCACTATGCTGTACTTTGTATTTTCTAGGGATGCACTTTAAGTACACTAGAAGGTATCTGTGATAAAGCTGCTTTATGAGCCCCACCCAAACAAAAGTATGCCATATAATTAGCTTTGACAAAGTTCATATCCAGGTATTCTTTAATCATCAGATGTAACAATCCAGCAGTTCCACTGACCTGGTTAATTTCCCCATGTATATGTTTTATAAAGAAAGCAACATGTTTAAATTGTAAGCTTCATGTAATAGAAAACATTAAAATTATATCTATGAACTTTAAAAAAGTCGCTCTGAAGAACATTTGAGAAACACTCATGGGATGGGGGTTCTTGATACAGTGTCTTAACTATGTAACCATTAGAAGATGGAAGTGCCTTCCAAAAGGATTAATTTCAAACATCGTTAAAGCACAACAATGCAAGTCTCTCATTCTGAGGCAAAAAGCAAGAGGCAATTGTACAGCCTTCAGGGGTGGGCAAAATCTTGACAGTGACAACCAACACCAAGACCTGCTTAGTCTGTAACAGCCCCTGGAAACAGGACACACCTCCCTCCCCAGGCTCTGCTAACAAAGGAAAGACGACCTTTTCACATTTCAGTTTATTAAAAATGGATACCATAAACAAGACCTGTACAAAAAAATATCTGAAATTGCCCAGAATTTGGTAACAGTTGCGTGATGAGAAGTTATCGTCTTGGGCCTCCTCTTCCTCTTCCACGACCTCGGCCTCTGCCACGGCCTCTGCCACGGCCTCTTCCAGCAACTTAGCAGGTGAAAGAAAAAGGATAAATCAAGTGAGACCCAGGAATACTTTCATTTTGATTAAAACATTCTGTATCGAGCATAAAACACCACACTGCTTCCATGTGATGAGACATTAAGTCTTTTAATGCTCAGTAAGTCTCAGGCAATATTTTCATCTTTAGTACTGGGTTTTTCAGTATACAACTTCCACAGACTACTCTCTGTCCTTGGCTTAACTGCAGAAAACAAGGGGATGTAACAGCTGGCTGCTCCCAAGTGCTAGGGTAGGTCTGACAGGGAACTAGAATTCCTCCTCTTTTTTGTTTTCATAAAATCTCATTTTCTGGAAGGGATCAGAAAAAGTGTATGCAAGACAAGGGTATTTTGTTACTATACAGTACAGAGGATAAGATTTCTTTTTGGCCACAGCTCTCATTGTGGTTTATGAAATACTCTGCTTAGGGGAAATGAGAGTTTTAACATGGTGTGATTCCCAAGCTCACCATTCTCAGGCACCATGCGAAGGGCAGCATTTTGAAGGGATCCCACCACCAAACAGCTATTTTCAGTGATACCTCTGCCCATTTCAAACGTGACTCTGAGGCCAAGGTCTTGGCTGTGTGCCCCCAGTTTTAATTACTGCTATTTAATGGTAAAGGGAAGACAGAAGCACAGGGTAATTCAGGCTGCAACTGCTGAAGGTCACATGATCCATACAGTGATAATGTGCCATTGCACCCGTTTCTCCTAAAGAAACATGACTTGACCCACCCAGTTGCTAGGCCACCCTACAAACTTAAGAAATAACTGTTTCATTTCAAACATGTTTGTGAGTGCAGGGCTCACAAAGATACTAAAAAATGTATGGGTGGCAGAGATGGGTGGCTCGGTAAGAGAGACACACTAACACCCCTTCACGGAGCAGGCGTGGATTATTCTGGCATGTAGGTCACAAATGCAGCAAAGACAGAAAGAGCAGAGGCACAAGGCAAATTTCACAGAAGCAAGGTGTCATTTTTTTGCTGATAATAGACTGACTCTGTAATTTCCATGGAAGTCTCAACACCTGACTAAACGATGGCAGCAGCTACGTGCATCAGTAGAGAGCTGCATTTGCTAAGCGCCAGCACACCTGGACCCAAGGCACATGTGCCACATACAAGCACAGCCAGCATCCTGCCTTCCACTGACAATTCCACTTGCCAAGGACAGACCATGGGCTTTACACTCTTGAAGCTGAAGAGCATTTATGGATTAAGGCAGCACAACACAGCTGCAGTCAGAGGGCTTCCGCACACTGTGGATGCAGCGAGCATCAAGTGGAGGTAACTGGGGCTATCACAGCTGCTTCCCTCAAAGAACCAAACACTGTGGGGTTCAGGAAAAAAAGCAATCCAATCACACTCATTTCTCCATGTGGTCAGATTGTTTTTAATGGACCTGAGAGGAGCAAAATCCCCTTGGGAGTTTTATGTGTATTCTCTATAGAGACAACAGCCACAGTGCTTGCACTTGGTGATGCATCCAAGGGCTCCTCACACCATGTCAGAAAGGTGAGCACACTAATGCATAACACACTGCAGATCCAAACACTTACACACTAATTGCAGGAGAAAGGGTACAACATTACTTTAGAGCACAATTAGCTTTCACTCACAGCTTACTATTTTAAAAATACACAGACTAACTGCTGGATTGAAACCGAATTGCTCTCTGTAATGTTTGGCTTCTAAGGAAAAGGTTTCTGTTCAACAGTTTATTGAGAAAAAAGTTTCAGGAAGAGCAGAGTGGAACACTACTGGGAACCAAAGTTAGAGATCTGCTCATTGGAATACACAGCCTAGACTCCTTCAGGTTCTCAAGTCTCTCAAATCCAGTTCTCAGAGATACCATTTTTATCCACCACCAAATTTCAGTGAATCATTCAGTACTGTTTGAGACACTGTCTTGTGCTTTCTTATTAGTCTATGTGAAGCTCCCCATACAAACTGGGGAAACCCAGCAGACACTCAGAGAAGAGAAGTGTAAGTCTCTGTTGCCAACTGTGAGACTGAGATAGGTTAAGATTTACTCAAGATGCAAAACATTTACATTTTTAAAACCAGGTGCATGAAAAGCCACACGCATAATTTCGGGTGAATGAATGCTCTGCAGACGTCAAGAAGGTGGGAAAGGCAGATTAAGCCAGTACAGTATCAAACCCTCAAAGAGGAAGGAATTAGACACCAAATGCAGACATTAAGACACTCAAATCAGATGTCTTCAGATTCAGAGGACTAAACTGCATACAAAGTCAGAACAAACACAGGAAAGCACAAACTAACCTGCTTCTCTTTTCTTGGATTTGACTTTTGGTTCAACATCCACTAGCAAAGTATCCAGAGGCAAACTGTCCGGCAGAATGAAGTAGCGGATATTATTCCCTCGAATACTCAGTGTCTCCAGCTGTACAGGTTCTCTGTTCTTCAGCGTCATTTTCACTGCTTTGAGATGTGTATTCATGCTGACATCCACTCCTGAAACAACACAAGCCTGATTTCAGGGACGAGGTCTCTTGTTGCCTATTTTTAAGAATGCACATGCTTCAAGATCTAGCCTGATCATTAATCCCTGCTTCTGCCACTCATTGAATAATTCACCCTCTAACAGAATGAAACTATGTGTCTTTTTCTCTCTTAAATTATGCCCAATAAGTTATCAATTGCTGCCTTTAACACGTTATTGCTAGAGAGCTTTATCTAGGTCCTGGCAGTAGCCAGGTAGCCAGTGGTTAAACATCCAGTAGCCAACGGTTAAATCAGTTCTGAACAACAAATAAACTGCTGCTTATTACAAAAGTCTAATACTGTCCTTACTCCTTTAAAAAGAAGAAAAACCTCTGAGGTTTTTCTGTAAGCCTTAGGAAAATCCAACCACCAAAGCAGCATTTATTTTCTGATAAAATACATCCAATACCAGAGTGCTATCTACCACCAAAGTACATAAAACACCCTCCTGTAAGGAACAACCATTGTGCTCACACACTCTGAGAACAGCCAGTATGTAAGAACTGTACGGAATCAGTACTGTGCCCACTATGCTGTGCTATGTGTAATCCCAAAACGCAAACTATCTCAGTTGGATGCATGTATTAAATAACAGTCATGAGAGGCAATTAAAAAGTTTTTATTTTCCATATGACGAGCTTTCCATGGGATTTGATCTCCAGCTACGAAGATGAAAACAAGAGTAACTTTTTCAAATCAAAACAGAAACAAAAGATTGACACTGCTGTTTACAAACACCTGCTAATCCAGCGACAAGGCACCCACAGGAACAAAATTTTAATGTGTTCAAACTTCTGTACAAACAACCCTTTGTGATAAAAATAAACTGTGAAATGTGTTACCAAGGTAAGTAACACAAGTGAGCATCAGCCCAGAACCAGAAGAACCACTGCGCTGTGCTTATTCCATGTACTTCCTCTGTCCTCATCCCCCTCCTTCTGGATTTTACAGAGCTCTCTGGCCCCTCCACTCCACCTGACCCAGACCCTTGGTTCATGTAAGGTGTATTATATGAAACCTGCCTCTTCAGCAACCCAGCTCTGGCCAGCCCCCAGAAGAGATTGCACAATCCAACAGCAGAGCAATTATGAACACAGTTCACCGGCC